TAAAGATATTGAAAGTGCATTACAGGAAAATATAAGTTGCTCCGTGGGAGAGGCATTTGTTTGGTGTTTGAACCCTTTGAATGTAGCTCGAACTTGGTATTTATAGGAGGAGCGCTTGGAGGAGTAATCGAGGCTGAAAATCTGCATGGTGGAGCCTGATTAGAGCAAGTGGGTAGTCCAATTGACATTTGGGGTCGTGAAGCATGGTGGTGTGACCCCATGAATCCTGGTAAATCTCGTCCGCCGCCCTGATCGTGGGTTCTGCTCTTCTGGCCGTGAGGACGCATTTATTGCTCTGATAGCGGGGAACCTAACCTCTCAAGCTGTGAGAATCCTTGTGAGAATGTTTGTGTCTAATCACTCTGATTCCTATCACCAAATCCTGACTTCAGTCACTTCCCACCTTCCCTCGTGCATTAAATGCTTATTCGTGGCCAGTGGGTTTGCTGCAGTAAACAGAGGCATTACTTCATTAAATGAAGCATGGGACCCTGCTGTCACGTGATGATTTGACTTTAATACCTTTGGCCGTGATTTTGTTCGGCCTCGGTCTCGGCCTATAATCGAGGTCGAGGTGATCATGCCTTAGCAATTTTTCTTCTGATTCAGGAAGGCCAAACATCTTGGCGAAACGCCGCGTTTTAGCCTTACGAGCAAATGCTAGGGCCGAGAAAAAGGGGCTCCTTCTGGCCGTGATTTATTAGGCACAAACACAATGTTTATGATTGCCTGTTAGTGCATTGATTGTAATTAGGTAGGTGTCTCCATCTGTGTTTCCTATGTTTATTGTTGCATCAGGATCCAAATCTAGAGAGTCAAAGGACACAATTAGAAGGATCTAAGGCTTAACACCCCGTTTCCCTTTGGTACAACATTCTTAAAGATCAACCTCATAACAACAATAAATTAGAGGGGTGGAGGTAGGTGGGTTATGTTTCGAGGAGGAAGTGGGTGGGGTCATGTTGAGCGGTTAGGCCATGTTTGGTAGGCTAGACTGGATTGGATATATTCAATTAAAATGGCTCTGGAACCCAACCTCAAACGTGGGTTTACAACAAGCGCAAGCTTCTCGTCGTCTCCCATGCTCAGCCTCTAGTACATCTTCTTTCTCCGGTTTGCCTTCTTCTCTCTCTTCTCACTCTTCTCCTCTTTCTCTCTCCCCTCTCTCCTATCCTCTCTCTTCTCCTTTCTCCTTTCTCCTTTCTCTTGCCTCTCAATTTCTTCTCTCTCCTTTTTTCAGGAAGAGATTGATTTGGCTTTGATTTGGCTCAAACAATGTTAAGATTTCTATCTAAAACTTTGGTTTTTCAATTTTTATTGTTTTGATTTTATTCATTTGGCTTTGATTTGGCATGTGTTTCACGGCTTCTATGCCTAACATGTCAAGCTCATCTCGGCAATCAAATCCATTTTCGTCTCCTTCTTTCCTTTGTTGGACACTGTTCTCATTTCCCAGATCCTTGTGTTATTGGATTGATTACAAATTTAAAAAATTTGTATATTTTTACTACAAATTTAAAAACTCTGTTCTTGTTCTTGTTTCCCAGCTTGATGTTCTTTGTTGGTTGCACAAAATAAATAAATAAAAATTGTCCTGCAAATCTTTGGGTACTGTTCTTTGTTCGGTATTGTTCTTTGATGTTGCTTTTCTGATTTTTCATGGCGATTTTGGGATTCTGTAGTTGGGATTTGGCATTGGATTTGGATGGAGATAAAAATGGGTGTCAATTGAATAAAATAAAATTTTGAAGTCAAGTCCAGTGTGTTGTTTGGTACAAAACTAAACATGATTGGACTTAAGATCCAGGTCAGCCCAAACCAGCCCAATTCAATACCTAACAATCAATCTTAACTAGTCCAAGTCAGCATGCCAAACAAGGCCTTAGTGTATGTGAAGTGGTTTGAGGCGAAACGGGTTTGGGTCTTGCATTTGAGGTGTTAAAATGTAAGCCAATTCGATAGCACGAGCCAAAGTGGGCGGTGTGAGGGGGAGAACATCATCCTCAACTTCATCTCTTAATCCACCAATAAAAGTACCTTTAGGCCTTGTTTGGTACACCTCTCAGGCCTGGATTGGATTGAATTAAAATTAAGCCCATGTTTGGTTTACCTACTTCTAGTTCTAAGTAGGGATTATCAATGCAGGCCCACCAACAACACCTCCTTAGAAAGCGTTAGTGAATCCCATGCGGAAGGGGGAACTCAACAATCCCGTGCATTCAGCGCACTTCTGTGCTCATACTTAGCCACTCAATTCAAGTCCATGTAATTACCATCATCCCCCTATGTCGAGTTCTTAATCGACAATGACTCCAACCCTGAACACAACGAAGTGCCCCACCCAATTGCCGAGCAAATCCCATGGATCTGAGTGGGTGTGAGGGCTCGTGCTAGTGCCTACAATACCTAGGCAAATATGAAATCGCCATTGAATGGAAGGACCAAAATTGAGAGAGAGAGAGAGAGAGAGAGAGAGAGAGAGAGAGAGAGAAAGAGAGAGGATGGTGTTACAACTCTCGCTTCCCTTGGAGAGAGCCAGTGGTCCACGAGCTTCATGGCTAGGGATTGGCCTTGTGGTTGATGCTTTTGGGCGATTGTGGCTTTGGGTTAAATAAAAAATAAATATTTATTAGTTTTTTTAATATTTTATTTAATTAAACAAACATATTTTTATTTAATCAAATGAACATATTTTTATTCAAGTCCTAGTCTCAGTCCCGGTCCAGCATTATACCAAACGCAGGACGAGTCTTATTTTGCTTAGTCCTAGTCAAGTTAATTCAGGAGAGGCCTTAAGCATAGTCCATTCCTTAAGCATACTCCATGCCAAGATAATCCTGAGTAACAAATGACGGCTTAAGTTGGTCATCTGTCCAACCTTCAGCTTTTCAAGATAGCTTTCACTTGACTAAAAGTATCTGCCCAGAAGTAAGAGATTCAGTCGTGGAGGAAGAGAAGGGAAGGATTGGATGGTGTAAGTAAGGGACAACGGAGGAAGGAGACTATATGGAAGGGAGGGTGGTGGTGTTGGAGGAGGGAAGGGTGGTGCGGGCGGAGGAGGGTTGCTAGACTAGAGGCACAGTAATCTAATCGGAGTTCTTCCACCATCGATTTTTGAAGGTCGATGTTGGGATTGTTGAGAGTGTAAGGTAGTGACAGGTTTCTGAATATCAGAGAGGTCCGTCTGGAACCCATCTGGGCGAGCGTAGCGTTGATGGTGGAAACAGTGTCCTAAAAATCTTGGAGGTGAGGTGTGAGCTGATCTCGTTGAAGGTCCAGAGTCACATCCATGGTGGAAACGGGGCCGGTGGAGGGCTCACCCTTTCTGCCCATGGCCAATTAGGCTATGATACCAGGCTGATGGCACCGAAAGTAGTAAAACACAGAGAAAGTAAGAACATGTTTGGTATTCTATTTGAATCCAACTTTTTTAAACTTAAAAACAAAATTTGAGTCGAAAGCTCAAATAATCTGTTTGATAGGCCTAGTTTTGAAAATCTGAACTTAAAAATAACTCAAAAAATCCAATTTGAATAAAGTGGTAAATGGTGCCACATGAGACAACAGTGGTGGAAATCCTTTTACACTTTACAAGTTGAATATTGATTGAGATGGGGAATTGGAATCACATTTAATTGGGAGGAAGAAGAAGAAGATCCTCCTGCCAATTGATCTCATAAATATTCATATACCGAGTACCTATATATCTACAGTGTGAAAATCTCATCTGCAAATTCAACCCTAGCTTAGCATGTTCTACTTGTAGAACTTGACCAAAGCTTGGCTTGTTCAACCCTAGTTATTCTTTTTCTTACTTTTCTTTATGAATATAAATTTTTTTGATTTAATTTTGGTTTTATTCTTGAAACTGGAACTGAGGACTACTCAATACTAATTGCTGATGATTCAACAATGAATGGTTGAGTAAGTGTCCTTGAGAGATATTGTCGGACTGAATCGTTGCGTTATTGAAACTGCAATTAGAGTTGACGTATTTCTTTGATGGGTATAGTAGTCCATGATCATCTGCAATTGGATGATCATGGCGCTTGAGCCGGTTTTCGATGCTTGGGATTGCTGGGAAGTTCAAACCATTGAATTGAGGGAGCTTTTGAAGCAAATGACTGTTGATGCTGCCGCTGCTGCTGCTGCTGATATTGGAATGGTCATTAATGAACAACGGTTTCTGGTCTAAACCGGTAGTCCTGGAACAGGGAAACCTATTTGGAGTTGATTGGAGTACGGTTCCAGTTGGGTTAGAGTATTGGCCATCCGCCAGAAAACTAGTGAGTAATGAGTAGTCCATGGCGTCTAGTAAGTTGGAGAAGGAAGAAGATTTCTGGGGCTTGAGATCAGTATTATTAGTACTCATGTTGTGACCAAGGCCGGGAAGGGGACTTTTCAGGCTTGGTAACAGGACATCATTGAGAAAATCTTCTTCTTCTTCAACTTCTTCTTCATGATCGATTGGCAGCACCGCTGCTGAACTTGAGACGTTGGACTTCTTGTAGATTCGACAGAGAACCCAATCATCCAACTGGAAGAGAGAAAAACAAACCAACGAAAGAGTACGTATTGGTCAAGTTATATACCACAAAGTATAGTTCATAAACAGAAAGTGTTAACAGCTCTAAATTAAACTGATCTGCATCACCATCGTGATTCATGATATAAAGCGAAATTGGGGAAATAATTTAGACGCGATATGGAATGCATATGTAATGCAAACAGCTCTAAATTAAATGAAGTAGAAGGTATATATAGTTGCTCACCCTCATGGATAAATCTTTGAGCTTCATGGTTTTGCTGGTGGTGGTGTAGTTGTTTGGATTCTCTGGAAGGCGATATTCATGCATGATCCAGTTGGTCTTGATTCCTTTAGGGGGTCTTCCCTTGTAGAAGACAAGAGCCTTCTTCACACCAACGTTCTGGCGTCCTCCTAATGACGCCACAATCGTCTTATCTGTTCCTGTTGCCTTCCAGTACCCTGACGCGGCTGCCCTGTTCGGCCTTGCGCCATTCGGGTACTTGCGATCTCTAGGACTAAAGAAGTACCATTCTTTCTCACCAAACGCAGCTTTGGCTAATTAACGATATATCAGCATCCATAAAAGAACACGCAATTAGCAATTAATGGCTTAAAAATGCATGTTAACCTTATAAAGTAATGAACCAATGAGGAAATTAATTAATCACCTGGCAATTCCCATGGATCAAACTTGTAGATATCAACTTCAGCTATGATGGAAACGGGTAAGGGTGTGGAGGCCACCTTCTTTGTAAGGTAGTGAAGGATGAGCTCTTCATCTGTAGGGTGGAACCTAAACCCTGGGGGCAGGCTTGATTCTGGGTTTTTCATCATCAAATAAATATTTCCTTCTGGTAGGGATATGATACGCTTGCTATATATATATGCACTAATTGAGCACCTGATTTAAAATTAATACAAGGGGCTGGCTTTGTCTGGTTTAGTTTAGTTGGGTAATATGAAAGAAAGAGGAAAATGGATGTGGAAATTAAGTGAAGGGAGGGGGATATATGCCTCTCTAGACTCCAGTTGTGACAAGACAAACTGGAAATTAAAGAAGAGGAGAATTGAAATTTTTAGGAGAGAAAGAAACGAAGGGCTTTTATGGTTGTGGTTTTTTGTCGGCATGCGGAAAAAGAAGAGATTAGGCCAAGGGGTTGGGATGAAGAATAGAATAGCAGATGATGGTGAGGAAAAAACAAATCATCTGTTACATTTTCTGGAAGAAATATAATACGAGGCCCACAGATACGCTCCCCTCCGATGTCGTATGTGTGCCAGCTGTAAGGCTTTTTTATGTACGTACGTATGTATGTATGTATGTATGTATATCTACAATGTGTCCGTCCATTTATACCAGAGTTTGATTTCCCTTTACACTAGAGTAGTCATAATATCATTTTGTCAACAGAAACGTATGTATGTATGCATGCATGGTCCAATCTCCAATCTCCAATCTCCAATCTCCAAAGGGAATGGAACTGTTGGTTTTGTCCTTCCCAAGTTTTGTTTTCGCGTAAAAGGGAAGAGGGGAAGAGGGGAAGAGGGGAAGAGGAATGAGAGATGACAAAATAATAGATAGATATCATGGAATGGAATAAAGAAGATGCATGGCGGCTAGACAAAGCTCCAAGGATGAGACATCATCAACCTCTTCTCAGATAGAATCGTGACACGTGTTCTTTCATGTTTGGAGAAGCTAGGCCCAGAAGCCCATAATAATCAAGTCCCACACAGTTCACAGCACAAGTAGAAGCCTACTCCTATGATGCCTGCCTAGTCATCAATCATCTTCCTTTTCTTTTTGGTCGAAAAGTCATCAATCATCTTCATCATGCCGTAATAATGCATCTCACCTTGACTTTATTCTTTTTCTCATTTTTCCAAGTGTTTGTTTGAACTTTGAGGTTACTTTTAAAATGCAGATAGAAATATTCCTATGCCCTATCTCTCCCTGCGTGCGCTTGCCACGAGTACAAGCCTACTGTCAGTTTGGTACACAAACTTTGACAGCATAAGTGTTTAGGGCTTTAGTGATTGTCTAACATGGCGTTTCTATCGCCCACATATGTTCAATTACTTTATGCAGTGTGGGATGCGAAGCGTGCAGGATCTACACTCTTTCTCGAGACTTCTAATTTGTCATCCTCTAAATCCGTATAATGTTACTAAAGAAGAAAGAAAAACCAATAATAATTCATGTTCACAAATAAAGATAAAAAAATTACTAATAGCTTTTCTTCAAAATCAATGATAATACATTTGATGGTTTCAGAAAGAAGAGATAATAAATGTGATGTTTAAGTATGTCAATTCAATATGGACGTACTCAAACAGCACAAGAAGACAACACAGAAAATAATGGACTGATGGGATTGGCTGGAAATCATGCAAAAAAAGGTTTGAAAAGCAAATTATATTAAAGTTGTCAGATTTACATACGTGGGTGGCATTCTATGAACCAAATTTCTTTCCTCTTTCTTCTTTCTTCTTTCTTCTTTCTTATTATTCTTCTTTATGAAGCCTGCATATATACAAGATTTACAAGAGAAAAAAGAAATCAAATTTCAAACCAGATTGATTTATGAAATGAGCAAAATTAATTTGATGTTTTGTACAAAATCAGTGTGATAGGAACCCTTGTTTTATAGTCTTTTTCATTTTAATATAGCCAACTTACTATATTAAGAGGTTGAATTGTATTGTGTTTGTTGAGTAATATGAATACTTCTCTCGGTGCATTTGGGTTAAGGTTGAACGGTGTTCTATCATTGGTATCAGGCCAGTGAACCTACGCTTCCCTTCTCACGGTGCATGTAATTCCTCTAAATTAGAAACTTATTAGAGGAAACTAGAAATTTCGAGCATGTGGTTGAACTTGAAACTCAAGTCCTAGCTAAATTCTAAAAGAAATTAGAAAATATCTCCTGTTTTTCCTTATGAAGCAAATTCAATCCGGTAATTTGGAGTTGGGACCACTCACTTGTGTTCTTTAATGCTTCACCAATCCTAATATTACTAATTAATATTATAATTATAGTAAGAAATTTAGATGGTCTAGCAGAGGCAGGCCGGTAGCTAAGTAAGACAGACTTGGAGTTTTGGAGGTATTTATTTGGTGAACATTTTCTTTGGTTTAGGTGAACTCAGTGGTTGAATCAACGCCACACTATCATGCCAGCTAAGCATTCACATTTCCGCGTGACATGTCCATTATTGTGGCACCTCGTTAAAAGTTTGACCATGATTTACGTGTCAAGTCTTAAGCTAAGCAACCACATCCAGTTTCGATTCATTTCGTGAGGAATGTTACGGTCAGTCGCCGGACTCATTTTAACGGTTGATGTATTATAGGCTCCACATCCATTAACGACAACGACTACCTATCACTACCTTTATTTCATTCATCTACAAAATTGTGATTTGTTTAACAATGGAAACATCGGGTATTTCATATCAGCCAAGGAAATCCCATTGAAAAAAGTTCCTTGACAAGGACACTCGCAGCCCATACATAATTCATAGATGTAGAACAACAACAATTAAGTTAATTGGTTCCTTCCTTCCTTGGTACCACACGTGGAGGAGTACGTGCGGTTTTGTGACTATTAATTTTGACTTGACTTTCTATCAGCTTTAGTGTTACAGTAACAGATACCAAACAAGGAGGAATAGGAATCTAACCATCACACTAATTTCAAGAGTCTAACCTACAAAAACAGCCTGGATGATATTTCATTCATCGAAGGTTACAAACCCTAAACTGTAGATCCACGTGTCCCAACCATAGCAAACCAAGTGTCCACAGCCCTTTTTCTTTCTTTTTTCTTTTTTCATAATTGAAAATACCATAATAATACTGAGTTATGCAAAATGCAGAGATTTACCAGTTCAAAGCAGCAGCCCTAGTTTGTGGACTCACATTAAATCTGCAGCAATTTGTTTGTTTTTGTGCTCATATTAAATCCTAGTTTAATAATAATTTCCTACTAATTGAAAACTTTTAGCATTCAAATTGAGCACGCCATGATTCCTTGTAAGGAAAAGAAAATGCCAACAAGTGCATCCTAGATTTGGGGAGCTCCCACGATGTATGTATGTATGTATGTATGTATGTATTTATGTATGAAGCCGAACAAAGGGACAAATTGGTGTGGTCATAAGATGATGCAAGGTTTTGGGAGCATCTGCTAAGAAAACGAATAAATTTTTCTATTAAGAAAACGAATGAAACCCAAAAAAGATGATTTTACACTACTCATATTAAACTATTGTTATTCAAAGATGAGCTTTATTTTATTCAACCCACAATGGGCTTCACATTATCTTTGGTTTTATGCACGACTACTCCTTTAGGTCATGCGTGATGAAAAATAAAGTACCTGGAATTTCAAATGTTCTTCCCCTGCCTCCATTCCTCTCCTAAATAAATATTCACCTGAAAATCAAATACTCACATGTCAAAAATGCATGACCGAAACCAACCAACACACCGTAATGTTTTGTGACAATTGACAAAGTAAACCATACTCATGAGCCTTAGACTGAAAAAGACAGATTAAATAACCAAGTGAGGAGTGTAAAATTACCATGGCTAAGGTGGTGATATAAAATATATAAATAAAAAATAGCTCCCCAGATAGAAACTTAGAGGGAAACAAAACAGGCTAACCTAAAAGTAGCAATGAGAATGAGCAGCCCTCCGTCAGATATTCCCATTCAAATCCACCAAAGTGATCCCTTTCAATGCCAGGTGATTAATTTTATCACTACTGTATTAGTTTATAATTTTAGTGTAGATTAGGTCAATGATAGGTATTTCCGCAACACCCGGTCTCAGTTCTTACCTTTTACCCCAGCATGCATGAAGCAACTTAATCTCCTAGCCTAAAACAAAATGTCATTGGTTGTCACATTGAGTTGGTTAGATAGATTGACTTAGCAAATGGGGTAACGTTTTTTTGTTTTTCATAAAAAAACATATTGGACTAGTCAAAAGCATGGAACAGCATAAAAGAATGAGTACTATAAGTTGATTGCCAGCTACAAAAGTCTTGAGTGTGACCCCCAGTAGTTTTCCACGTGCAGTTCACCTAATCTAATGGATAATGCTTATCCAATGTCAAATGCTCATGCACCAATTTTTCCCTTTGAGACAATACAACATGAGCTAGGCCTAACCAGAAACTACGTCACATAGTTAAAACACTATACAAAAGGAACTGCAAGCATATTTCAACAATATAGGAGTTTTTCCATGACCTTCCTAAATATTACAATACTGCTGTGCCGGCACTGTCATTAAAAAGGCTTATGCAACACAAAATATCACGACTAAATAAATGCAGTAAGAAGAAGCAATAGAAATGAAAAACATGATATAGCAAAAGAGATCCATTTCTGGTGGAAAAAAACAGTCCACTAACCGTGAATATGAGTAATTGATAAAGGCTGCTCCATAGTCCAAAGTAGCTAACCATGGTGAACAAAAGTTTGGTAAAAGTTCAGTTTCAGTATTCCTCTAACAGCACGAAAATCTGCATGTTATATAACTTCACCGCAATCAGGCTATGACAGATATTCACAGCACAGAAGCAAAAAGTTTTATTCCAGTCCTTTAACGGGCGAGCAAATACCTGAAGCACTATAGCATCAGTCTGCCAGACAGTGTCACAAAATCACCTATGCACCAATTTAATTTGATTGGATGCTGCAAAAAAGAGTGGAAATGAGGGAAGCTATGAAGTATACTCTTCATATTTCAAGATAAACACACTTTCTTTAATCCATTACTATTTTACATCTATAAAACTAAAAGTTAAGAGAATTCCAAAGTTTTGTCATACAATGAGTTTAGAAACAATTTCTTATTGCAAACTGTTATGATAATGAGCCAACACGAAAGATACACCAGAATTAACTTTACTTAAAGACACCAGCTGCCATAGTTGGTAAAGTCCCTTCGGGTTGTACCATAGACTTGAATCAAATCCCGCCTAGTTGGAGGGGTTTATAGATGGAAAGTACAATCTCTCCGTGTGTAACCCATAGGCCATTGGAAAACAGGAAAATGAATGAACTTTAATTGCTTACACTAAAGTAGCGGAAATGTAATCACAAAAACTTAGAATACCCAAACACCAGAAATTCTCAAAGACAGTGGTCCCATTGACAAACTCACTCAAGTGGGATATCAACCTTCTCCTTTGGTTTGTGAATGATTTGGTAGATTTCTGAATGGAATGATTACAAATGAGGGGATGAGTTCCATTTTATAGTTGCAAACAAATTTCTTTCATGAATGAGCTGAAGACCATTTTCAAGGAAACATCAACATGAAGTATCAAGATCAACTTCACACATACCCAAGTGCGTGTGTATTTATACCTACACGCATCTCCTCTACTACTAGTTAGTATACTAAAAAGACTGAGAAATCATTTGTATCAGACCATCGAGTGACAGTGACACAGGTCAACTTTGACCAGAGGTCCACCAGTAACACAATTATAGTTGACTACAATTGGCTAGAGTGGTGTAATCCATCTTAGATTTGAGGACTACTTGGGATCCTCTATAGTCCATAGTTGGGTTAATGGGCCTTTATGGTATCCCTTGGAAGTTTGTATATGAGATCAAGGAGTCTTACACTCTTTACTTTTTCCCTTTCCTTTGATAAGGATGTAGCCTGACACTCTTCTATCTATGTCTAGGTTATAGCAACTTCAGGACTACTACTTTTCTTTGAAAAAACTTCATTACTATACGCAAGCAAGAAGAAGATACCAAATGCCAGTGTAATTTTGCTCATACCTAATTGTCACGCTCAAAATTTGTGAAACTTCATGAAGTGTTAAATAAGGAAAACATCATTATTAAATTGATACGAATTACTCCGAACAATTTGACCAGTCGTAAGTTTAGAAGCAACTTCAGGACTTATGTAAATGCAATTTCAACAACTACAAAGTAATTTGACAAACTCAAATTTAAGGATCATTTACTGACTTCATGATCTGTATATATACACTTTCATTATCAAGATCATATTATGCAAGCAATCATATAATAACATCCATAACTTCAATTGATGATCATTAAATAACTGTGATAAAGGAATTGTCTAATACTCATAATAAATCCATAACACTGAAGCCCCAAACCCCAAAAACCTTTAATATCCAAAGATCTCCAACTAGGTCAATATTCCATTTTTCCTCAAAATATACAACAGTAAAAAAATGCATGCAAGGGATTTCCACAGACTAATAAGAATATCCACAAAGACTAGAGAAATCCTAACTGCAAATCATCTCTTTACTTTCTTTCTTCAACTCATACCTGAAGGTTGAAATGCAGGCATTAGCTACTAGTTCGGTAAGTAAACTATGCATGATGGTTTTGATTATTCTTTTTCCAATTACATAAGGCAGATAACTACAACTAATCTCGAAACCATTTCTGTCAAATCAAAATTATACCCATTACAAAACCTAAGTCAAATCACAAATAACACTACAATAAGAAACATGCTATATTAAAAAAAAAAGAACATTACAACAGGGGACAAGTTGTCCACTGAACAAGCTAGACTACTCAACTATAACTACAAAACAGAGCTAAAACATAACATTACAGGAATGAAAACTATGACACAGCAGTACTCTAATCATAAAATAAAACTTTAAAAGAACTACTCCTAAACTCCGATCACAAATAACAGTCACATGTAATTTTCCCATATAGAGATTAATTGTGTTTCAAGTAACATATAATTTGCCCATGTAGAGAATATAATTTCTAGTAAGACCTTCCAATACATACCAAAAATATCATTTCCAGTAATATAATCTCCATACCATTTTCACATTACTATACATACCTGTACCATACTAGTCACCAACTGCCAGAAAAATACAACACAGTAGCACACAACGGTTGTCACCAATGTATGCTACAGGGCAATTACAAGGAAGTTGCCACTGTAGGATGCCCCTCAGTCAGTAGTAACAGCCCACAAAGCCACCACAAATGTGTGTACAGTCATACCCACCAGCCATCACCAACAGTATAGACCATATCAGTGAACTAACTGCAGGATGACTCAGTCCTGGTCGAGTCACCAATAACATCAGTTCAAATATAGCAGTGGAGTCGCAATTAGAATTAACGGTTTAGGTGGTGTGTTGGCCTTAACACATATATCACAAATTCTTGAATAAATGATTTTAAACTAAAATAATGTTTTTGAATTGCCATGAAAGATTTCAAAAAACAGTCAACAAAGTGTCGGCATTTATTGGTGCAAACCAAGATTCAAAAATGAAATCACACTTCCTGGTAATACACAGTGGAGGAAAAAAATTTAGACAAAAAAGAAAAATTCCTGCCAGCGTCCATGATCCACAAGATATTTGTTATTAACTTAGAGATCAAAATGGTACAAGACACCCTTGTATAAAATCACATAATTCAAACCATATTCTGTTCAAACTTTATAACTTGAACCTCGGTAAATGGTCCCTACACCTCGGTGTAAGTGTTTCTTGTGGTTATGCATGCACATAGATTTTTTATGTTCCAATTTTCTTCTCAATATTTTGCACTCTCCTGTCACTCTTCTCCAAACCATATTCTGTTCAAACTTATAACATGAAGTGTATGATATAAAGTATAATTAAAAAAATTTATGTATAAAAAAGAAAGTTAACACAAGATGGGATGAGTTACACTGAGAAAATAAAGGATAGCACTCGGTTTAACAGAGGATATAACCCAATTACAGCCCAATTTGCGTGATGGCAAAACCCATATTGGACTTCACAGCATGTTTGAGTTGATCCACGAGTCTAAAACATTTCAGTTCTTTGTTTGTGACAACAAAAGTAAATAGTTGAGTGCACATTGTGACAGAAAATGTTAGGCACCTGTACAAAGTCGATGGAAACTTGATGCTGAAGGTTGCTGACCAGCCATGACCATGTGTACACAGAGATTTCTTATTTCATTTAAACCTACTGCTCCCAAAAAGAAAACCCCCGCTCCCTTACAACTTTCCTAGTTTCAGGTTGCCGAAGGAAATCTTTTTCCTGATGAGATTTATTGGATATTACACTAGTTTTCATGTCTGGCTGACTACAGTCCAGTTGATCTCCTTCTTTATCAGTTGTTTGGAATGTGGAGATCTGCTTACCAGACAGCCATGACTGAAGCATCTCTTCTGTACTTGGTTCTGGTAAATACTGTTTCTCTTTCATCTCCATATAATATTTGTAGGCTTCCTCCAACTTTCCATTCAAAAAGAGCCCATGTATCAGCACAATATATGAGCTACGATCAGGATTGACTCCATTCTCACTCATTTCACTCCACAACTTGAACACGTAATCAAGCTGGCGCCATCGACAAAATTTTCGAATCAACATTATGTAGGTATCAGTATTTGGGTGGCAACCTGTGTATTTCATCATCTCCAAGAGCTCAAACACTTTCTCTCCAGTCCTCAAAATACGGAAGAAGGCATGGTAAGTCTGAATTGTGGGAAGATGGCCTCGCTGCAACATGTCATCAAGGATGTGTCTAGCCTCATCAATTTTCCCGGCCTTGCAGAGAGGTTTGATGAGCGAGTTATAAGTGACAACATTGGGAGCAATACCCTTGTCTTGCATTGTTTTCACAAGATTGGTAGCCTCTTTCAGGAGCCTGCGCTTTCCAAGAGCGTAAATGAGTGCATTGTAAACTTTCCTATCCGCCTCAATCTTCATTGCCTTCATCCGATCGAAGAGCTTGAGCACCCTGTTAATGTTAGAGGCTTTTGAATAGCAAGATATGAGACTTGAATACGAGACAGCATCGTGCACAACACCTCTCTTGCTCATCTCAGTCCAAACTCTCTCGGCCTCACGGGGACTTACAATGATATTGCACCAACCATTGAGGATAATGTTAAAGCTCTTGGTGTTAAAGGGGAAGACATTTCTGTTGCAGAATAGCAATTGCTCAGCTTCTTGTACATTTTTGTAGCGGCAAAGGGCGGAGAGAAGGCCATGGAAGTCATCCATCCCAGCCACCAAGTTAAAGCGCTTATAAGCGTAGAAAGTGTTGATAGCCTTCCCAACATCATGTACACAAGAATATTTTCTAATCATGATCAAGAGAGTGTGAGGAGTGACAAGTGACAAACCTCTCATTTCATCAATCAAACCCCAGGCAGTGTCAAACTTTCTCATTTTGCCCATAATGGAGATCATGCAATGATATTCGCGCAGCGAATGAGCATAGCCTGGCTGCTTTCCAGCCCAGAGGAAGAAGGCGAATGCCGATTCCCAATCGTTGCGAACGCGTGAAAGAACTTCCACCACCAGCTCTGATGAGGCTGCTATGCAACATTCATCAAGCTTCCTTGTCATCTCAGACCCCAACGATTTTCGCAGACTTAATATATTCACAATGCTTTTTACATCTCCAGCAAGACCTTCATCACCATTATGTGAACTGGAGAGTCTCAAGTCGCCGTCGTCTAAGTCCTGGTCGTCGTCGTCAACATCATCATCACGGGCAACAAATTTGCTATTAGCTGTGGAACTGCCATCATCTGAGCTCTGCAACTTCGAATGTGGGCTGCTAGTAGAAGACGACCGAAGGAAGACCACCGGAGTAAAAGAATGCGTTGGAGCTGAAGATAAAGCTGGGACTTGCTTCAAGGCAAATGCAGCAGCAATGGACATAAAAACAGAGGAATGGCTAGGCGTTGGTTTATGTAGCAAAATCGTATACAGGGATTTTATTCTGGCCATGTTTCGCATCATTTCTACAAATCACAGCAATGCCTATCAACTGTTTGTAAAAATAACCAAACCAATCCTTTAATAATCCTTTAATCCTTTAATACAGGGATATGATGTGATGTACCTTTTTTCGGCTGGCCTTCAATTGCGCAGACGCAGACGCAGAGGCAATCAATCCTAAATTTTCAGCCCTTATATCTCAAATTCTGAATGATTTCGCCTTTCATACACTATCAACGAGCGACGAGAGTCTCTGTGTGGCAGTGGGAAGGACTTTTAACTAAAGATTATGTGCATGATATGCATCACTAGACTAGCAACTTGTGCAAATGCAAACTCTCTGTTCTGCGCACCCACAGCTGAAAATTCTGCTATGGCCCGAGATCAAACCCACCACCAACTCCTAACCCAAGGGGCCAAGTAGCATAAAGAAAAGGACACTCCTACCATTTCAAGCCCAAATGTTTTCCTCGACTAGGCTTGCGCATGGATCAGTTTGGTTCACGAGAAAGCTCAACCCTTTAATCATATCAAATTTATACTAAATTTTGGATAGGCTAAAATCACTACTATAACCGGTACTTTGGGCACAGATCAGTTCGAGTCGGTATTCTAAACTTTCAGTTTGGTTTGGTACAATACGGATATTTTACATTGTGTTGGTTTCATGAGAGTTTTTTTTTTCCTGTAACAAATTTTTTCTTTTAAATATTATGATTTTTCAACTCACAGAAGTGATGATTACAATTTAGATTATGGAAATGAGAATATTAGCATTGGGGTGTTTTATAATCTGAGAGGGAAATGAGCTAGTTCAGCACATCGTCACATTAAACAGAACTAGACGTATTTCCCAGCTCACGGAAGCAGAAAGAAAACCAAAGGTAACGAACTGAATGGTTATGGTAAACATAAATTAGGAAGAACAATCCGTCTCTTACAGCCCCACACACACGCACGAATGAAATGGTGATACCATTTTGCTTACTCAGCCGGCAAAACTAATACAACTAATTGAATCAAATTGTTATCTCAAGAATTGTAAGTCTGAGCTAATTACAAATGAAGACAAATTAAACTATATTCTCTCATTATTCCCAACATATAGACCAAATCCAATTCCCAAATCAACCCAATATCAGTTTATGAGGTCGGCTTCTGAGCATTACCAATCGTGCCGCTCAAAGACCACTGGTCGCCAAAAACTGAAAAGGCCACTGAATTTCTTTGCAATAGGTGATTTAGCAGATAATGCGACCTGCAATTATAATGAGGACACAGCCTCTATGGCACTGCCTAGTGGCCATGCTGCTTCAACCAAGGCGTTATTATACTTGACCTTCTTCACCAACGTAATCTCTTGCCACGGATCTAGACCTGTTTAAGATATAGATGCAACCAGTTTCGACGTATTAGAATTCAGATCTAATTTTATCTTAGATGAAATTTCATTGTCAACTTGCTTAACTAGCTAAATCACAATTGAATGAAACCTACCAAATCCATCTACAAGCAATGTAAATTGGTAAACAAGATCCATGCACAAGAATGGCAGATTGTCCTCCTCAGCGTGTGGATAAATGGATTTAGCATCCTCAAGTTTAGTTTCACAAGCACGCTTAGCTGCCTCCTCAAAATTCCCAGGGCGAACTTTGGCAACAGGTTCGTTTGGGTTAACAAAGCCAGCCTGCATATATAATATGTGGTCAGCAAAACCACGTTGTTGTGTAAGATGAACCCTAAACTTTCCATGCACATTACACAAAAACATATAAAAATCAAGAATGATGAAATACCTCAGCAGCTCTGTCGAAGAAAAATGAAGCTACAAAAAGGTTCCGTTGTCCATCCCCTCCTCCACCGTTCCATACCCCTCCAAAGGTGCACTTCATGTGGGTACATGTTGCTTCATTTACTTTGAGTGCCTTCATAGCTACCCTCTTGCATCCCTCAACACTTGATCCAGATGAGGAAGCCGATGCTTTATAAATTTGACCTCCATAATTGTAAGAACCTGAACAACATACCAAAAGTGCCCAACAAACAGCCTATTACGCACTAATCCAAAACCAGAACGTAAAAATGTCAATGCTCTGTACTTCACATAGAGCTGCCCACCCACATGTGATGATTTCTGACTCATTTAAAATATAGAATACTGTCAATGGAGTTAAAGACCTATAAATTATGACAGTTTTGATATTCTAGAGAATGTAAATGCAGCAGCAATGAAGTAAAAAAGTATAAAAAATGATTCAGCTAAAGTGATGAAGAACAAGAATTTGGGATATATTTATAAGAAAGGGAGAAAAAAACTGTCCGCGTGGAAATGGAGCAAATCAACATACCATCATATCCAGCTAAGATGCAGGGGTTGCCAGAATCATCAGAAACCTTTAAAATCTCTGCTCGAGCTGCTAGTAACCCGTAATGCAAGTAACTGCATAAAAACAAAATTAAAACACAATTAACCTAGTCACACAATCCTATAAGAGTTATGTCATTTGAAATGATGTTGAGGAAATAAACGAATGCAAAACAAAACAATGAAACAGAAAAATAAATCCTGACATCATTAAGCAGGAAGAAAGAGAGAAACCTGTGAACATAGAGGTTATATTTTGTTCCTTTAAGAGTCATTTCTCTTACATACGAATCATCTCCATCTGATAACCTCGGTGCCTTTGCGGCATCTGCCTCTGAGATGGCATAAGCCATTTGAACAGATCCACCCCCAAGATCGACTACACCAACAGTATCTGAATACTTCTTCCCAACATTTCCGAGTAGATAGTTTATTGTCACCTGAAGACAAGAGAAAGTAAAACCATGACTGCTTTTTTTTCTTCTTCTTCTTGGTTATGGATACGTATGCACATACAAGTATGGCAATTATTCCCCAAATCTTGGGTGTTAATCTCTCCATCTTTACTTATGTATGCTTCACAGATAACAATTTCATAAGTTAGTTTTTCAAAAAAATTTGGATTGTTTAATATACTGCATTGTCTGCCATAAAATAAACACCATTGTTTAATCGTTAGGAATTGCATTCAGACTTCTGAATCTTTATCAATTTTTATTCTATGAAAAAAGATATTTTACAGATACCCGGAGAGCAGAGTCCAGAAGGCAGAAGCAATTAAGGGAAGGTATATAAGTGAAATAAATGAGTGCATAAATTGAAAGAATAAAAATAAAACAAAACAAATTCCTAGCATACCCATTGGAAGGAACCCTCTTGAGTTCCATCAATAACAGTGACGGAATCGGGTTTGGAGCTGAGGCTGCTTCTTTCTTTCAGCAGATCCCGAACCTTTCGAAAGAAAGACAAACAACTATGTCAATTGAGTTTCAAAAATGGAAATGCAGATGAATGGAAGAAAAATTAACCAGATTCCGGGGAAAAAGAAAGAGAAAGAAGAAGATAGAGATACATACGGCTTGGAGAATGCGGTCAGAAGCATCGCCCTCCAAAGCCCTCAAACCAGCAGTAGCCCCAACGCGGACGGGAGTGAAGGAGCGCAGGTCTTTTGGGACAGCCCTTTCGGCCTCGTCGAGAAGCCCAGTGAGGGACTCGGCAGCAGAGCGAGGGTCCTTGGCATAAGCGCTCAAGCCAGGCTTGACTTGATCGAAGAGCTCGAGATCCTTGCCGATGGGGAGGAGCTGGAGGTTGTGGTCGAAGCAGAAGACGTGGACGCGGCTGCCGGAGCTGCCGGCGTCAAAGATCACGGCATAAGAGGTCTTGGGAGGCAGCTTGCGGTGGTTGTGGTTGGTGGTGACGGTGGTGGACAGCTCGCCGCCTCCGCCCCCTCCTCCGGGCATGACGTAGAGGACCATGGTGAGGAGGAGGAGAGGGACAGAGATGACGAGGAGGACGCTCCTGTATCTGTACATTTTGTCGGAGAAGGAGTCGTATTGGGGATTGCCCATGCCGATTCCTCTTCCGCCGGGACGCTTGAGCATCTTGTTGTCGGAGTAGTCGGAGAGGGGGTCGTGCTGGGAATGGGAATGATCGGACGGTGGAGAATTGGTCTGGATCAGAGTCTGAGCCTCGAGCAGTTCAGCCGACGAAGGCGATCTGTATCGGATCTGACCGTTGAGATTGAGGGGCTGCTGCTTCCCTTCCTGTGCCGGCTCCAGATTGGAGTATTAATCCTGGGATAAAATAATCCCAACTCTCTGACTCTGCCACTCGAGTTACAGACTGCTCTGCCTGGGATCTAAATCTCTCAGTCTATCTATCTCCTCTCCTCTGTGTCAAAAGGAATTGATAAGCAAAGGAGTTTCAGCCAGCCCCAACCTACAATGCCTTTTGCCTTTTGCTTCCCAGAATCTATACATATACATACATATATATATATATATAGAGAGAGAGAGAGAGAGAGAGAGAGAGAGAGAGAGGCCACTGCAGTGCAGAGTCTGCAGAGTGCAAGAGACGAGAGCAATGGTTGTTGGGTTGGGATGATGTTTGCGGACTTGGGATGAATGAACCAACATTACCCCTCACGCCTCACCCTCTGCCTACAATTTTATAGCTACAATTTTACGACAAAAAAAAAACACAAAATATGAAATATTGCATTACCATAAACAAATAATTAATCTTAAGAAAAACTCTTTGTGTAAAGTAAAAGTATACACAAAAATAAAATGAATTTCCTAAAAGTATACACATTTCTTATATTTCCCGTAAAGTTCCTCTTTACGTATTTCGTATGGGGCCAGCCTTAGACATACATTACACTTTACATTACCAATTTCAGTATGGTTTCAAACCCACATTTATCTCAAAGTTTTTTTTAAAATTCTTTTTTTTTTTGGTCGAAACAAAGATTAGATTGAGCATTGTCTGAGGATCTCTAAATTCTTACAATCATACATTAATTTTAAGGCTAATGTAGTAAGAAAATCACAAAACCAAATACAATCTCTCTCAAAAGCTCTTTTCCTCTTTTGTCAGAAAACTCAGGCACCTATTCAAAACCCAATTTTCTTTTTGCCCCAGATCTCTACGAAAAAATAAGGAATTGTTGTCATTTTCTAATTGGTTCTTAGTGTGTCAAAAAAATTTAAAAACTAATTAGAAAATGACAAATGACTAGTTTTTGATTTTTCTCTCCAAATAGGCTATGTATGGGTATTTGTAGAATATGTCATGTTAGAATAGGCCTATTTATGAAAAGCCCTTCATTTTTCATCCTTGGTTGTTTGTTGATTGGAAGAATATTTACTTTACAGCTTTAGGGTTTCAATTTCAAGAGGATTGAGGGTTAATTTTAGGAGGAGAAGTCATTCAATTCGTTGATTTCACATAGTCCTGCTAGACAAGAGTTGGTGCTTTGAAGATGCTTTGATTAGTGTCAGGAGAAATTGAGTGGTATGCTCTGTGTCTTTGTGGCACTCTCTCCTCATTTCAGTAGCGTTATGAGGCGATTCATCGGATGCAAGACTCCGATTTGGCACTGGTATTGCTTGTTGATGTTGCTCTGTATTATGAGTTGGCTTCTGGTGAGTTTGTTTTATTGTTTGATTTCTAGCATGTATGAGGTGTTGTGAATTTGTACTGATTTAGTCTCCTTCTTTAGGGGCTGCTGTGTAATGCAAGTTCTGTAGTTCTTCAATGGAAATCTTATTTATCGCAAAAATAAAAATAAAAATAATGTTCTTCTTCTCATGTCCAATGGAAGCCAATTCCTCAACTACCATATTTGATTCTCGAAAAACATACCGAATTTGTAAAATCGGCATTTCAAGCAAGAGATATATACATTGCTTCATAAAAGATGCATTGTTTATTTATTTATTAACATAAGCGATATTCTAAACCGCAGAGGAGGAGCAGGAGGTTTCTCAAACACACTGTCAATGAGTCATGGGGGTTCGAACCTAAGACTATTGGGCTGCAAGTTAAGGCCTTCTTCCACTATGCTAGACCTCGTTGGCAAAGTTGCATTATTTTTTGTTGACGAGGGTTGAAAGATTTTTATATATATGATGGTCACCTGTTTTGGACGATAAGTTGTTCCAATTTAAATGACATGAGAGTGAAGAGTCATGTACGAATGACTTTAGGATTCAATATCTTAAACTTCTGAATAGGTTACATAGAATGGTTAATGCAAGTCTGTTAATTAGGTTGGGATAGCCTAAAGGTGTGACCATGACAATGGACACTCTCTCAACTTTATCATGCATGGTAAGAGCAGTTGGCCTTATGGTCATTGCAATGAGTAAACACTTTCTCCCAGTTGTTATCACAAGCTTAACTTTATGCTTTTCGCTATTCTCTCTTTGAAACCTTTAAACACCGTGTGTTAGTACTATGACTGGCCAAACAACTAGATGCAATGTTAAGAGTCCCACATCGACATATTGCAAGACGTGAGGGCTCTCCCTTACCTACCTATAAAGGGAGACCACTCTCCACTTTGAAGGGTATTCGATATCTTCTTCCCCCTCTATTTGGGATCAACCCTTTGTACAATGTAATCACAACTACTTATTACAATGAGAACATCTCTTTTTGCAAACGAAGCATATTCTAGCAAACTATGTACATCTGTTGTCTGACGCATAATCACACCCAGATCCTGGGGACATTAGGCCCCCCATCAAAGAATATCACGGTGGGCGTTTCCAAATGCCTCGTGTACTATATCGGGCATCGCTTGGAAAAGTAGATCAATCAAAAAGATGGCGGAAAATCTGGAAGAAAAAAAAGGATGGCAGAAAACAGAGCTGGAAGGGAGAAATATCTAATGAACGGATGGCAAAGCCTGCCATTTAACCCAGCTATTATCAATGCTCTCTAGTTGAACATGCTGAAATTCATTGCCAGCAGGCGCATAAAGAATGCCAACGCCAAAACACAACTTGACTAGACAGTCATTTTATTTGATCCACAATTTGAAGACAGGTTTACCAACCCTAAGGTCCTCCTTATCTTCGGATGAAAATGACCAGAAAGAAGCTACCCGCCTCGCCTCTTCTCTTCAGGCCTTCTTGGCCTTCTTCTTTTTGCCTTTGGCAGGTAGGGGGGGAAAGACAGCACGGAAGATCCACCCAGCCAATATTGCTCCTATGAAGGGGCAAATCCAATAAACATAAAACTGCTCCCATGTGTTGTGCCAATTGTTTAGATATGCCCAACCAAATGCCTGCGAACACAACAAATAATACATTTTATAAGGTCACTAGATATGATAACAGCACAAAAAAGATCTAATATTATTTTATTTAAAATCAAATGATACAAAAGAATAACAGCAACAGATTTAGAAAAGAGAGAAATAACTTGACCAAAAAACAAAAGAAAAAATATCATAAATAATTCAGTTGCCAAGCCATTTGCTTCTCCATTCATAAATCAATCCAACAGAGGATTCAGATTCTGAAAACTATTCAAGCAAAAGAAATGAACAAAGGGATAGTGGTTGTAGTACCTTAGCAGTTGTAAAGTGAAGTCTGAGTTCAATACAATCCAAAGGAAACTGTCCAAGGTGCACAACTCAACACATAAAATTGCCATCTCTTCCCACGAGGGAATAACCAAAACAATGAACGATCAGTCTTTGCCTATAAAATTCACGACATGTATCAGAACTATATAAGTTCTAGACTATTTGAAGTGATGAAGATTGTACATGCATTGTTCTTGAGTGAAACAAGCGAGCCCCTTCCAATTTATCTAGTAACCTGACCATCTCAGCTATCTCCGCCTCGTTCAGATTTTTCTCCTAAGACCAAAGTTCCAACTATAATGGTACAAAGAAGGATCCGCAAAACATGAAATACTCTCTTGATGTTTTTTGGACAGTCAGAATAATCTGGGATACAGTTCTTTCAACAGTCCAACCTCCAACCAACAATCCCCCCAGAACATCACCCTCTCCCTGTTGCTTACTACAAATTCACAACAGAAATGAAGGAAACCTGAAGGAAATATCTTTCCAAGGGCTACAACTTGAGCCTCTCACTAAAAGGTTTGCATCCCACCCATTAGTAGCCTCCCCATATTTACTTCTTATCACCTTATGCCATAACAAACTTGTTTCCCTCAGATACCTCCATAACCACTTAGCAAGTAAAGCTTTATTCCTCTCACTCAAATTGGCCACACCTAAACCCCCATCCTCCTTACTTAAGGCCATCACCAAAGTTCAGACTCTGCTTTTTCGGGAAGGCCATTAGTAACTGAAGAAGTGTAATGTTAAAAAGTTATATCTCATGGAACAAAAACAAGACTAGTCCTCTGCTATCAACTTTACGACCAAACCCCACTATATTTCTCATCCTAGACACCATACTTGTTGAATTTTCCTACAACACTAATTCTAAAATTTCCCCTTCCCGTAAATCCAAACTGGCGAGACCAATTATCCAACATTAAATTCAATATGAGATGAAAAACAACCTAAATTCCTCTTCAACTAACGCGGTAACCTTTCAATGTTGTCAAATAGAAGTATAGGGAAATGGGCTATTAATGGCTTGAAATCTTAGATTGAACATGTTTATCTTGCTTATTATATACTTGATCTTACAATTAACAAAACAAATTGGCAACAACTTTCTCTGGATTAAGAAGTCATCAACGCATTTGAGATTTTGAGTTTGTTATCATTTCAACTATTAGTCAGTTTAAGTCAAGCATTTGTCATTCACCAAATGACTTGTCAAAAGATAAACAAAGCATTTACAAACGGCCTAGAAAGGAAATACAAGATCAAAATTAAGAAGAGGCAAAACATCATCAGACATACAATAATTCAAACAATAAACCTAACTGGAAGCTCTCCTTAGATTTTAAATAGAAGAGATGTATTTTTCAACTGAAGTTAGAAACTCACCAATTAATACATCTTACTCTCTTCTTCCCAGGAAGATTATCTTTCATTTAAAGAAGAAAACAAAATACATTTCAAGGAAACAGTAATTAATGCATTCACACTAGCCTATTCAGTCCTGTATTTCCTTCATTACCCACAATTTTCACTGTTTAAAATCTAAACATAACAGCGATACAGAGAGATACTTCAAGAAAATGAAATCATTGTGCCTTGACTTCTTTTATACTCAGAAATTCCCCAAACCCGCTTCGCGAACTTGGACTACCTGCCCAACCCTACAATCTTTTGTGCCTTGACTTTTCAAACTGGGAAAATGGTTCCAGATAGGGGGAAAGTAGAGAGGAACCTTTTAAACAATAAGGAAACATTGGCATTTATATTTTAATCGTTAAGGTCCTATCAAAAAAATATCATAACCAGTAAGGAAATACCACTAATGTGGTGAATACAGCAGTCCTTACATTCTATTGTTGTATTACTTTTCCAGTGATATATTACAACCAAAAGAATTTTGAAACTAAAGCTACGAAAGGACTGCTGTCACGAACAAATTGAAGGGTTATTTATGTCGAACTTATGAACAGAAGATGGCCACAGTAAAATAACAGAAATAGAACTAGAAACGGAATTCATACTTAATGAATCAGATGAAAATAAACAAAGTTCCTAACATCTGTGCGCAACTCTCTTCCTCCGTCTCTCTTTCCGTTTGTCTAACTTCTAATCTAAGATGGCCGTAAATTTTTTTAATCTTTTATAATGTCGCATATTCATACTCAATGAATCAGATGAAAATAAACATGTTCAAATATTTATGCACAACTCTCTCTCACTCTCTCTCTCTCTCTCTCTCTCTCTCTCTCTCTCACACACACACACACACACACACACACACAAACACACACAGGGGTGGAGCTAGAATTGTAAAGTTGGGGGGGCCAAAATAGAAAATACAAGTATATCAAACACCAAAGTATTCAAGATACATGTGAGAGCTAAATATTTCTAACTTAAACATGTCTGCTTTGTTTGAGAGGGGCCATTAACTTAAATTATAAGTTGTCTATTACTAATTCTATATATTATATATAATACAATAGAGGACACATAAATAATCTTGGGGAGCCAGGGTCACTCATGGCCTAGGAGTGGCTTCGCCACTGCACACACACACACGAAGCATACAAAGAGTAGTGGCTGGAGAGGTTTTTTTCGAGAGGGTGAACACCAAAAATGTGGGCAAAATAAAGGTGATAGTGCAAGGAGACAAGGCATTTATAAGGAAGGTAGAAAGTACATTGAAATAGAAGCCAAAGAGGATAAACGTTTCTTGTTTTTCTCCTCTCCTGTAGCTTTTATATTTTTTAGCATAATTGTGTTTATTACTCTGCTTTACAGACAGGAAGATGCCATTTCCATTTTGTCCATGTGTCCCATAAATCATATATTGACAACTACCGTACAAACAAAAGCCGAAGAGCATAATAGCAATGTCAAAGAATAAAGAAAGATATCACAAGGGGTTCAATGATAGTAACCAAACACACTTAGTATTATGATAAGCACCACCAATCTGATATAGCGTATCTCATTTACTACAATAGAAAATATCCCATCCTCGTAATGGATCAAGGGGAAACAATGAATTTCTTAAACATGAGTTCCAATAGTAAAACATACATCTTAAGGACGAGTTATCAAAAAGCAGCACACTAGCACAGGAAAAGTATAACCATTATTGTAGGATTTTTATAGTGATGCTGTATTAAATTTAATATGTTTCCTACTACTGCAAGGAATCGATATGGTATATGCAAAAGAGAAAGAATGACATTATAACTATGATTAATGAAAAAAAGAAAAAAAAGAGCATGGTTTACTTACATTGGCTGGATTCATGGAAGGGCCGGTATAGACAGAACCGGCAACAACCAATGTGACAGTGACCACAGAAAGTAGCAACATCTTCAAAACTGGGCTACGAGGACCCTTGAGTATGATTACAAGGACAAGAAAGGAGATTACGAAAGTCAATACCCCCTCAGCGATAGCTCCAGTATGCACGTCAACTTTTAATGAAGGCCCTCCAAGCATGTGCTTGTACTGCTGTGGCATGACCTCGTTAATGGCTAGTACTCCACCCACAGCACCCAAAGCCTATGGAAGAAAAGAGAGATGTATTTTATATGAAATTTTGATCGTTAATTAGGATTTTTTATATTAAGCAGCCTAGAATCATTTTGGGTTCTTTTCTATACATCCATAGGTTGAGAGCAAGGCATAAAGTAAGTTTCTTTTTTGCAACAATGAGCAGAGCAGATTCTGTTAGTTAAATTGCAACAGCAGAGCAGTCAGCAGCAGATGATAAATTCTTAAATGATGCATTGCATAGTTTTGATATGGGCAATAAGAATTGAACAAAACTGAGTAGAGAGAGAGAGAGAGAGTGATTAATTAGTAAGGAAGGCTTATGGTTTAGGGTGAGGTGACCTGAGCAGGGAAGCGGAGGGCCATGGAGAAGAGGGTGTCGGCGCCAAGGCCGGCGGCGTAAAAGGAGGCAGTGCCAGTGGGGTTGAAGCTGGCCCCACCCAAGGCGTCTCCGAGGAAGGTGAAGACAAATACAAGGACGAAGACAAGGGCGGTGGTGATGAAGAGAGGCGGCCATGAAAGGTCCTGAACCCCAACGGCATTTGCGATGAAGCTGGTGGCTAGTCCAAGCGTCGATGCGCAGGAAATCCACAAGAAGGTGAGCACAGTGTCTCCAACAGCTGCCTTAGTCGCACCCATCTCTTCTGATATCTGATCTCTTTTCTTCTTCGTTGTTGTCTTTCCAAGTAAAAATACGAGCAGAGCAGATGTCTTTGCTTTGTCTATCTATTTGGTCAAAGGCAGAAGGGAAGACACCATCAACATTCATTCAAGATTCAAGGATATACAGCCTTGTTGGAGTTTATAATAATAAAATAATATACAAAAAGAAAATTGACAAAATAATTGAGTGAGAAACTAAACTGACTGACTGACTGGTATGTAATGTAATTGTAACTGAAATTAAACAAATTGGTTGGAGGAGAGGAGATGAAGGAGATGATGGAGATCCTAGACTGATGTGATGAGACTAGTAGGCGGTTATAGAGTTAGCAGGCGGAAGAAGACGTTTCCATTCACCACACACACTCTCTCTCTCTCTCATACGCAATTGTTGGAGATGAGCCTTCTCACTTCACTACTACTAGGATTGGGGCAGTTGGGTTGGGCCCATGTATTACTTTCTTCCTTCGCTTTCCTGGACCTTTTTATTCGTGAAAAGCTCTTCTTCTTTTTTATGAGCAAGGAGGACAACCCCCACTTACAAACAGGGGACCAAGTTTTGAGTCTTCTTATATTACTAGACCAACTTCTGAAAACCTCTGCTAAAAACCCCTTTACTCAAATAAAGTCATCTGTTACTCATGCCGATACATGATGATGTGGCAGATGTAGGCCCAATTTATTTTTTTGGCTGCTACTTTTTTTTTATTTATAAATGGTGACAGAAATTTATTAGATCAATGGAAAAAAAAAACAAGAGAGAGTACAAAAGACAAATATTGTAAAGCAAGTCATCTTATTAGCAGCGAACATGGGTAAATCTTCCCCAGCCAAAGAGCTGAAAAGATATGTAGAGAAAAACTCAACAAACTCAACAAAGTCTCTAAAATTATGAGAGAAAAATAACATATACAGCTGAATATAGTTTTTGAACTTTTTGAACAAACAAGATCAAAACCAAAGAACTAAAACAACGCTAACAAAAAGGAAAAACAAATGTCATTAATCTTCCTTTAGGACATGACGTAGAGAGCATCACCTAGTCACTCCATAGCCTATGTTTGTGCAAATTTCTCACGGAAGAATATTTGCATGTAGATCATTCACCTTTTGAGCTTCCTTATCTCTCTTCCTCGGTTCCTGCAAAACAAATAGGAGTAAAAGACCACACCCGAGAGGTGTTGGCCAAAGGCCCTCCGATGTCTAAGTTAGTTCAATTGAATATTTGAGAAACAATAATTAAAAGGGGTATGGAGTTTTCTCTTACGGGGAGAGTTAGGTGGCTGGAGCCGTGTGTGGCGGCACTTGGCCGTGTGACATTACTATCATTGAAAATGATTAATTTTCTTTGGAGTAGCAAATGCAATTAATCCAACACTTCCTTCAAGAAAAATTTATAGTTTCTATAGTTTGATGGTTTTTTTGTTGTCAACAATATGATGTTTTTTTTTATACATATATTTTATGATTTTATGTAGTTGAATGAAATTGCTATGTTTAAAAATATATATATACATGTGCAAAAAAAAAAAACATTTCCATGTTAAACTGTGATTACATACAAAGGGTCTCATTTTAATTTATGGCCCTAGTGTAAGATTTGCATTCAAAACCCTAAGGTGGTCTTCTAATCATTTAAGGATAACTAGTTCAATGTCAATTAGGATTACATGGATCGATTAAATTTAAGACTTGATATATATGACTGATTTAAGATAAATACAAGTGCTTAAGGTTTCCTAATTCTAAATGGATTGAGATACCTACTCCTATTGGTTAAAGGAGTTTAAGTAATCCATGATGAGGAGGATACTTAAACTACACCTATAAAAGGGAGGTCCCTATGCTAACGGCATAATAACGTTCTCATATTATTCTACCCCATCAAGAAGAGACTCGAGAGCCGTATAGCATAGAGATACTGCCCTAATACAAATCTGCCCGAACCAGTCAAGAACACAGCTCCTGCAGAATTCCAGTTTCTTCCCAAGCAAGTAATCAAAGTTCCTGCTGCAGTAATTCTCACAATGTCGAATTAAGGTATGTGTTGTGAATATATAAACCTAGTAAAGTTTACACCTAGGTCATTCAAAAGTCAGGCCCGTCGTGCTTTGAGATTGGTGTCATATCAGCACAAATCCTTAGCTTCACATCCATTCCATATACTGCAACCTAACTAAGTTTAGTGAACACTGATATGTGGCATATTGGTTGGCCCAACTATTGTTCCTTCTTTGTCATTGCTTGTTATCACAAATAGGGCTTAGGCATCACCATTCCAAAGAATAAGCTACTTGGGAAGAATACTATAACTTTGTACGTGCCAAAAGTATTTGTGGGCTTTTGGTGAACATTGTGATGCCTTAGGTTTCTAACATGCTATATTTTGGCTGCTATGGTTTACTTGTTGATCAAGAAATGAAAGATTGGACCCTAGAATGGGCTCAAATATTGGTTTTTCTCAAGTGCGTTAGGTGTGCCACTATTAGTGTTTTACTCTCCTAGTAAAAAGAGGTGAAATTGTGTAATGAATGTATTGCCCTTGTTTGATCTTAACCTCTAACCAAAACCACTGTGCTCCAAGTGGGGAATCTAGCTTCAATAGGTTCTTTTCTAAGCCTCAACTAAGAGGACTTCAATATTTCACTTGCTATGAAATAAAACTCGAAAGGAATGAAGATTTTAACTAAATATCGGACAGAAAGTACAATACAAGTTTAAAGGTAAAAAGTGTTCGATGAATACAGTGCAGTTACAAGAAAGCAAATACAAGTCCAAGTATACCTAAATAAACTCAAATGAAAACAATAAAAGGCCTAACAAGGCCTAGGGGAACCATATCGGACAGAAATAACTCTTCTCGGACACAACTATAATCTACTTGAGATAGTACAATATGTCCAATAAGATTTTGTCAACAATATATGCAGTATACATAAGATGTGACATATACAAAGTTGATTTTAAAGACGCTGGAATTGGTGACCAACTTATAAAATCATACCAAGCAATAAAGTTGGAAAAGCATTAAAGTTACAAACAATAGCAATGTAATTCCAAGGAGTTGTCCATTGGGAATTAAACATGTTATGTGTTTGGGAGAAGTTCCAATTAGGAGTTATCAATTGGGAACTCAAAGAATATGAGAGGATTTGATTCAAGTCCTGGCTTTGGTCTGCCGTGAGATACTTTGACAAGGTGTTTGAGTCGAGGGCATTTGAATGTTGTTCAAATTGGTTCTTTGTTCTTGGAATTGGCTGTCCTTTGGATCGTAAGTTCTGCTTCCATTTATAGACTCCTTGAATCCTGAAATTGCACGTTTGGTAAAGAGATGTCTTAGCCTTGTGCCCATTCTTTCTCTGTAGGTGAAATGGTGGACTTTGATTTTACTTTGATCCACGTGTTTATCTGTGTTTTACCAAGTTTGATGATGATGATGAGTCTCACAATTTAAATCACATTTAATGCGATTGCTCAACCTTTCTTTGCCACCTAAGTCTTCTTTAGCCGTCGAAATCAACTTTGAGTTCAAATTTGGGTACTCACACCACACTATTAATTGGGTAAAAGCTGCTTAACAACTGTTTTATAGGAAAGTCAAAGTTTTTGGAGAAGATTGACATTGGGCCCCAATCTTTGGACATTTAGTTTTCTAATTCTGAACGGCCCAAAAAACCATTTTACTGAGAGAGTCCTTTTGTTGGGCCTTTAGACATTCTTAATCCAAACGTATTGTATCGTGAAAACAAATCAAAGCGCGTTACGTGTGGCAACATCATGGTTTGAAATATTACTCAAAGTATGTTAATTAATTATTTGCGGTATAAGAATGAACTGGGTATTCTGAATTAACAATAATTTGTATTTAAAACCATTCATCTTGGCTATAATTACATTAATTGATTTCTTACATTCTGTCTGTCCGACGGGTCCTGGTCTGCTTGATTGACCATGCGTTGGTCAATGTTTATCATTTAGAGTTGACTTTTGTTCAATGGGCCTGGGCCTTAGACATGGTTGATTAGTTTGGTCAACGTTTGACCATTTGAATGGGTTTTGTTTATTGGGCCTTCGTTGCTTATAGAATTTGCCCAAATAATTAGGAAATTGGCCTATGCTAATTTTGATCCTTGAGGAGAGTCTATCTATTGGGAGGGGGGAATGTTGCTGAGTTGGGCATTTAATCTGAGCTAGCTAAGTCAGTTTCTGGTTGGGAAATGTTAGCTAATATTAGGGTTTAGGTGGAATTATTTATATTGTATGAGATATGCCCAGTTAAGTGATACTAAAAAATACCAATAGTAGTAATGTTTTAATCATATTTCCATGAATAAAAGAATGAACCAAAACAAACATATCCAACTTCACAGAAGAAATTTGACCCAACAAAAAAGAAAAAGAAAAAGAAAAAGAAAGAACAAGTCCACAGACGAAACTAAACAGCATTAACATACCCCCCAAGGCCTCAACACAAGCAATTGAAGCAAACTCAAAGTACTGCCAATTGAATTCAAGAATTAGCGAAGCTAGTGGCAATGGGGATGACAATGACAAGAATGAGCAGGAGCAGGATTATGACTCCAATACACATCCACTTCCTGCTGCTCCTCTGGTATCCCTTGGCAGTCGTCAGATGTTTTGTTCCATCCTTCACATAGTGGGAAGCGTTCATGACATGGTGTTCAATATCATCCATCTGCTCTCCCTGAGCCTCCACCATCACAGCCATGTCTAAGAATATCTGATGCAGCTCCAGCAGGCTCTTCTCAATCTCCTTCGCCGCGTCGTGCCTGTCCTGTATCTCCACCACAGTTTCCAGCACCTTTCCCCTCCCATGCTCTTGTATGGCCTTCCCAAGAAACTCCTCGCCGCCGTTTCCATCCCCATTCGAGATGATCTTTTCGATAACCTCCTCATCCGGGTGCTCTCCAGTCACCGTGAAGTAGCGTCTCCCCACAGTCTCCTTGTACTCGGTCATCATCCTCTGTCTCAGGCCCTGGAAATCCATCATAAGCTCCTTGAGCTTCTTTCGCAGTCCGTTGGTGACGGCAATTCTGGTCCTGTAAATCGGGGTGCCTTCTTTGTAGGCGGAGAGCCTCCTGTTGGCTGCGTTGGCGCGGTCCATGTCCTCCAGCTGAGATCTGATAGTCCTGGTTTTCTTCAGCACCGTCATAATGTCCGCATTAATTCTGCTGCGCAAGGACTGCAAAGCTTCAGACTTATGGAGGGACTTGCTCTCCTCGTTGGTTTGCTGTAGACGCCCCAGAATGTCCCGGACAGAACCCATCTCCTGCTTCACCTTTTCGGCCTCTTCCAAGAACAGACCAAGGTCGGTGTGCATATGGGTCGTGGAAGATGACATCTCCACATTATTATGCCCAGCTTCAAGGTCCAAATCTTTCATAGCCTCTTTCTTTAGATCCACATAGTTGGTGAAGGATTTTGTCATCAGGTCGTTCATCTTTCTTGCCTTTTCTTTTCCTTCCCTTTCCTTTCCTTTTAAGTTTGTTGGCAGCCAAAGA